TTTGCGTTCTTATGACCTTATGCAGTTGCAAGCGCCGTAAAACCCTCTACTATAAAAACAAACCCAAACGAATAAAATCTTTTCATTCAAAATGTTATTAAGAAATGGTTAAACGTGTGTTTTCTGATGGAACAAAATCTTAACCAGGTACGTATTTTTAAAGCTTTCTTTCACCCAACTGCTCAAAAATTGCTTTTCCGACAACTGGGACCTTTTTCCTGACGCAAACCCACATATTGTCACATAAAAGAGAATACATGTATTGCCTTCCTCGTGATTACTCATGTTCTACATAGTGTAATTGTAATACAGTAATCGGTGACAAGTGTGTGGGTTGTTCGGGCTAGTATGTGCACTTGTAGTTGTCGAGCTTCAAGATGAACGTAGATGAGTTGCAATATTGTACTTGCGTTGACGTCACATGGGTGAAGGATCGGACTGAGGCAAAGATAGTACATAACAAGATGGGCCACTCAGCCCAAAAAGTGTGCGCCGGAAGTTTGCTCTTTGCTTCAGATGGCGCTGCAATCTGTTTTGAAGCTCTCTTTAATTTTTTCCAGAAGAAGAATAGGAATAGCACCTCCTTGCGCGCACAGATCGATTGCAGTTCATCAGCAGTTCGGGTTCGTTCAGTGCGGAGTTTTAGTTTTTTAAAATAATTTTGTTGACCTCTCGCCTTTCATTCTAAAGTCAAATTAAGCGAAGAAAACAATCACCCTTTCCTCCAGAAGAGGTTTTTTGTCTGCGTAACCATTTTAAAAAAGCGTTCTTCCGAAATTTATTAAAAAACTTGCTAGTTTCCCTTTGATTTTTTAAACTCAAGTAGGGTAACTCTGTTTGCAAAGGGTGCGCATTTGCGAAGAGGGCGCCACCGAATTTTGATGACACTTTTTTAATTGGCTCAAAGAGAGAAGTGGCCTCTCTTGTTATGTAGACTCTTTGACAGTGGTCAAGTGGTATCGACTCAACTTAGCAAAGCTTTTATTTGCCATTAATGAATTCAATGGCGTGTAAAGCGAAGCTCATGATAGCTTTCTTCAATAGGACTAGGTTGTTTTTTGTGGTTCGAAACAAAACCAACGTCAATTTTCTCCTCCCCCCTCTCGCCCTTCCTCCCCCCTTGCCAATGCAAAAGAAAAGAAAAATAATACATGATGTAAACGAGTACCGTAACTTAATAAATAAGATCTTGGAAAAGATGTTGGAAACCCGACGTATACCTGAGCTGATCCCATAAAGCTGCTGAACTGCGTTTAATACTTATTGTCAAGTAAGGTACATCTTAAATTAATTTGGAGTCCTTTTACATCCTTATTTCCATTTTCCTATTACATGTCTTTTCTTTTTTTCTTTTTTCCTTCCTTTCTTTCTTTCTTTCGTTCTCTCTTTTGTTGGAAAGACGCTGTGGAAGGGACATGACCAACACACGATAATCCAAAGTTCAATCCCTCGTGTGCTCCAAAATAGTGGTGCCCTTTTAACTATTATTTTTGTTTTCTAACTAAAACTAAAAACTAAAGCAGGGAAGCTAGGCTAATGCACAGCGCTGTCCTCGAACGAAGTGACGAATCCAGGAATTTGTATAAAAAGCTCTGATTATATCAAAACTCAGTTATATAATTTTTCGTTTTACTGCGAGTCGCGCAAGGAGTCGGAGCGATTGGAGTGCCCTTACGTAAATTGATTGCTGCATACAGCAGGTCTCGCTCTTTGTTCAACGGTATTTCATTTTAATTAAAACAAAAAAAAGCAAAACAAAACAACCTCCACTCTCAAACACAATGTCTTTTCTCAAGAATCGATGTGTGTTTGTGTAGATCTACATATAGATTGTGTTTGTGTGTGTGTAGATTTTATGTGCGCGCGCTTGTGTGCGTGTAGATTGTATGCGTATGATTGTGTGTGTATGTGTATGTGTGTGTGTGTGTGTGTGTGT